CAATGGCCGATTGTGCTCCAGCTTCCTCTGTACCTCTTCGGAAGACCAGATTCCCAGTAGGTAGCTGGTCTCTTCAGTGGACCACTGCTGCTTGTTAAGTTTCTCCATCGTTGTGTACAAGCTGGATAAAACGCAGGCTTCTTGTTGTTGTTCAGGAGTTGATCCCGCCTGTTGTGAGTTTTCATAGTATGTTTAATACTTAAAAACGAAAGTTAGTTATAATCAAATATAATCAATTATATTTCTTTGTATAACCCACAATGAAAATGCTCATATTTTAGATTTTCTATAGTTACAGTATAAACAAACAAAGTGGTTTGTTTAGGTTGAGTTTTCTTCCTCTCCTCTGGCCAGCAGTCCACAGGGAGGGGGGGCCTTCACACTAAGGGGAGAAACATTAGAGGCCAAAGAGAGTTCATGTCCTTTTTACCTCATATGAAAGGGTGTCTTATCCCATAACAGCTGTGGAACATGTCGGGACATGTTCAGCCTTGTACATTATAGGACATGCGCAGTTCTTCATAAATTACGTGTAGAGGAGGAGTTTGTACCCTCTATAACCGAGGGTCCACTGATGCAGAGGAGAGAGGAGTCTCTCTGGAGGAGCTATAACCGAGGGTCCACTGATGCAGAGGAGAGAGGAGTCTCTCTGGAGGAGCTATAACCGAGGGTACACTGATGTATCCTCCATAGTCGATTTCAGGCAACAGAGACCGGGTGTAAATGAAATTATACTTTATTCACAACAGGCTATAGTTGCAAGATAGTAGGATGTAAACAGGTCTAAGTGTAATTAAAATACATTAAACTATAAAGATAAGCATTAACAGTTCATAGACACATATCAACAGTAGAAAATATAATATGTTCACTGAAAAGAGTAAAGACTAATGGAAAGAGGTGCAGTACACAAGTACAGTAATAGCAACAAAATTAATCAGTGTACCAAAATCTAATATTGTCATCTCACTCCAAGCTGAACTCTAAAGATGGCAGCCCTGGACTATAATGTATGTGCGGTCTATAACAGAGAAATACAAAATGTACAAGTATAATGAGAATCAGTTACTGAAATATATTATACAGCAATCAATAAGCATAACTTTCTCTGCAATGACACATATTCTCAAAGGCTAATTAACTGTTCAACATGCAGGTTGTAATATAACCATTACAAATATAAACATGTACTATACTGCACAGATAGCTCCTTTAACTTACAATGTAACAGGTTAATATGTCATCTCAACATTAGATTGCCAACATTGTCAAACAAAGCTGGACTTATCCGCACGCAGCTATTGTAAAGGAAGCACAGCTCTGCAAACTGTTCCCATTGTGATTATAAGTTATTTAACAAGATAAAATGTGCATCAGACTTTCTGCCCTTTACCGTTTCTTTACTCACTAAACGCATCTCCTCTGGATATTAGGCTATGTATTTTTTGCTTTAATTGTGAGCCGACATTTCCTGGGAGAACAGCTGCTGAGGCCAGTGCAGAAAGCAGAACAGAAGTAATAGGCCTACATTACACACTTTATTTGTATCCTTTAGTAGATATCTACAAATAAACAGTTGATATTTTTCATGAAACCAAATAGTGCTTCACATCATAACATATACAAGGGCTGTAGCCTGATATATATTATATGCTTAAAGAGCTGTATGTGTATGTTTTGGAGTGTATATGTGTCTGTTGTAATTGCATATGCCACCAGCAGAGGGAGCTGCTGGACTAAGGCAAGGCAAGGCAAGTTTATTTATATACCACTTTTCAACACAAGGCAATTCAAAGTGCTTTACAAAAAATGAAAGAGATTAAGAAAATGGCATTTAAAATCAGTCATTAAAAATAAAAGCTAATAAAATAAACATTAAAAGAAAAAATACATGGATAAAGTTACAGTGCAGTCTAAGATATGAATAGTTCAATTAAAAGCAGCGACAAAAAGAAAAGTCTTCAGCCTGGATTTAAAAGTAGTCAGAGTTGCAGCGGACCTGCAGGTTTCTGGGAGTTTGTTCCAGATATTTGGAGCATAATAACTGAACGCTGCTTTACCGTGTTTAGTTCTGACTCTGGGGACAGAAAGCTGACCAGTCCCCGAAGACCTGAGAGATCTGGATGGTTCATAATTTAGCAGGAGGTCAGAAATGTATTTTGGGCCTAAACCATTCAGTGCTTTATAAACCAGCAGCAGTATTTTGAAATCTATTCTTTGACACACAGGAAGCCAGTGTAAAGACTTCAGAACTGGAGTGATGTGATCCACTTTCTTAGTGTTAGTGAGGACTCGAGCAGCAGCGTTCTGAATTAGCTGCAGCTTTCTAATAGATAGATAAATTTCGCTGCTTGAATGGCGTCGTAAAACCCTCAAAAACAGGTTTCAAAGCGCACAGGAATCATAACATGAATTCTACGAATAACAATAGCTCTTCTTACACTTCGTGCTCAGGCCCTAATTAAGGTGCTTAAAACATAGTTCAAAGTATTTGTAATACCTCATTCACACCAACGCAAATCCGGTTCAAGCTCCGTGCTAGAGCTTTTCAGGTTCAGAACCGGTTCTTCGGTTTAGCGGAGGCTCTTTTCACACCGCCCAGAGTCAGACTGGTGCTGCGTCATTGCGTCATCGTTTGCGTCATGACGTAACCGTTTGCGTGCCTGCTTCATTAAACCAAACCGCGCGGAAACCCCTCACAGCTGACACCGGCAACAACAACAATGGCCGATTGTGCTCCAGCTTCCTCTGTACCTCTTCGGAAGACCAGATTCCCAGTAGGTAGCTGGTCTCTTCAGTGGACCACTGCTGCTTGTTAAGTTTCTCCATCGTTGTGTACAAGCTGGATAAAACGCAGGCTTCTTGTTGTTGTTCAGGAGTTGATCCCGCCTGTTGTGAGTTTTCATAGTATGTTTAATACTTAAAAACGAAAGTTAGTTATAATCAAATATAATCAATTATATTCTTGTATAACCCACAATGAAAATGCTTCATATTTTAGATTTTCTATAGTTACAGTATAAACAAAACAAAGTGGTTTGTTTAGGTTGAGTTTTCTTCCTCTCCTCTGGCAGCAGTCCACAGGGAGGGGGGGCTTCACACTAAGGGGAGAAACATTAGAGGCCAAAGAGAGTTCATGTCCTTTTTACCTCATATGAAAGGGTGTCTTATCCCATAACAGCTGTGGAACATGTCGGGACATGTTCAGCCTTGTACATTATAGGACATGCGCAGTTCTTCATAAATTACGTGTAGAGGAGGAGTTTGTTTTTTTGGGTTTAGGATCCAGTTTTTTTAGCATAAAGAGACTGGTTTTTTTGAGAGAGCGCGAGAGAGGGGGGTTAACCCCTGGTAGACTCTCTCCCGGTAGGCTGTGTGCTTCAGAGCTGGGTTAATAGCTCTCGGTAAGGTCCTGCCAGACGGGGTAAATATCTCTCGAATTTATTGGTTGTTGGCTGAGTGGAATGATTTGATGAGAGATGTGTGTATGAACATTATAAATACTGCCATCTGTGAGGAAAATCTCCCCTCCGAAATTGCAGATAGGTATGGGTTTTTAAATGTTATACCCGCCGTCTGTGTCGGAAAAAGTGTATGAATATTATAAATACTGCCATCTGTGAGGAAAATCTCCCCTCCGAAATTGCAGATAGGTATGGGTTTTTAAATGTTATACCCGCCATCTGTGTCGGAAAAAACGGTATGAAACTGATGTGAATTGAGTTGGTGAAAATGAAAAAGTTGAATGCGCTTTTTATTGTCACCGGTCTTTTTACGAGGAAATACCTCTAAATTCTATCGGGAGAATTTTAAAATGTCACAACTGAAATGGGCAGTTGAAATTAAAACATTTTGGTAATAAATGTAAGACTGTGAATTAAAGTTTCATTTGAACATGATCACAGCACCAGGTTTTTAGTATGATTATAATGTTGTAAAGAGAGAAGGTAAAAACCCTGTATTAGTTTGGACCTATTTTTCTTCAAATAAACTGATCCCACCTTTTGGACTGGGATAATTTAAAAGACACCTGTGCCCTCCTCTCCTGCTTCCAAGGTAAGATTGCACCCTGCCACACACACTTAGGTAGGAGCACACTCCATTTACTGATATCAAAATCCTTCGGGATCGCTTAAACAGATTAAAAAAGAGTTGTCTGAATTGAAACAGCAGTTAATTGAAACCTTGGTTCTTCGGGAAGTTAGTAGAGGTGAGATCTTGCTGACGTTGGTGGATCTGAGCCAAGCCGCAAACTTACATAGACTCAATAACTTCGGAAAGGTCAATTAGTAGGTCAGAATAATTTACCGGAATAAATCATCAGGACCACCAAAACTCTAAACACGCCCCTGCCCCCGCCTCGACGTGAGCGTGACGTATGTGGTGCTTTTGCTCTGGCCGGACAATTTTTTGGTGCTTGAAACGAACCGGATTCCGGAGCTAAGAGGCTGCTCCGCTGCGGTGTGAAGAGGAAAACCCGGTGCTTTTCAAGCTCCAGCTCCGAACCGGCCCCAAAACACCGTTGGTGTGAATGAGGTATAATAGAAGGTAGACGAGGGAGTACGTTTTGTGTTTTCACAATATAAATCTATCATTTACACACTAGCTGAAGAAAATGCTGTTTATGTGACAACATGCTTGCATTTTCCCAGGGCTAGAGTATTTTTATTATGTGCCTTTCGATTCTTCATGAACAGCGTATTTGGCTCTGTCAGCCAGCATACACTGATTTATGCACATACAAAGCATGAGCAACTGATGGCAGCTCCACCTTTACTCCGCCTGAATCTCAGCAGGAGTTAAATTCTGCTTTAATCTCTGCCACTAATCCTGTTGCTTCTATTTCCAGTTTTGTGTAATCCCACTGCAGCTTCTGCAAACAAGCAATTACTACACCTGGTCCAAAAGTAGTTCCAGGTAGGAAAGTCATACAGTGTGTCTGAAAGTCTCTGAGTGGGTGTTCTGGTGGGGTTCATCAGTGTAGGCTTGGTAAACCTTACCTGTCTTCAGCTTTGGCATCCTATACTGCCATATGAAACAAAAGGTCATGACCAATGAGAGCAGGAAGAAGACAACCATGCCCAGCATGGTCCATCTCACCTTCATCCTGCCTACTGGTTGCTTTGAGCAGCGGACTGGTTCTATAAACAAAAATCAATGTTAGTAAGAGGTATCGAAGAAAGTGTACCTCAAAGTACCATAAAGCCAGTTTTGAAGAACATTTGTCATTTCCTATTAAGTTAAGTTTGCCAGAAAAGATAAAACATTTAATGAAAATACATTCACAAACAACACAGGTTGTTTAGCTTACCAAAGGAGGGTTAAAAGGCATCCGATTCCTCTTGTTATGTTTGTTTCATTCTTCAACTTTAAAGCAAAAAATCCACCATTTCATTTCCTGCGAGGTCCACAGGGGAGACGCCAGCAGGAGCGCATGAACTCAGCTCTGCTGCTCCTGAGCATTCACCGGCTACAGACCATTACCTACATGCACTTAATCCTGATTCTATTCCCACTCCGCTGTGACATCATAATCTGCTGGGAGGTTCAGCAGCAGGGCTAAAAGTAAGGAGGGCTGCAGAATGGAAACCTGCTTAGCACTCATTCTCAACAATCACATCATCTCTGGGGTTAATTCCACACATGCATCACTGCTGGGTGCTCTTCATCACCACATCAGGAGGACAGCCATTCTGTATTACATTTACTTAGAAATGTTGGTGTCGGTCCTCCACATTATCCTGGAGGAAATCTTAATAATCTTGAGAATTCATTTTTATTTTGATGATGGCAAACTGTCCAGCAAAGCAGCCTCAAATCATAATGCCCATCAGTTAAAACAGATTGTGTAATTGTATTATTAGAACTTAAGATCAGACCATATCTTATAGCAAATGTATACATAAATGCAGGTTATTCCAAAGGGTTAACTTACTTTTTCCTGCTACTATATATGTTATCCCTTGGCGATTTTGTAAATGTACCCACTTAAAAAGAAATGAAGAATCTATAATTTAATGGTAGGCTTATTTTACTAATGAGAGAATATCAAAAAGAAAATCCAGAAATGTACATCATATAAGAGACATACATTAATTTATATTTTGTTGAATTGTGTTCGTTGTTCTCGCGTTCAGGAGAGAAGTTAAAATAAAGAGACTAATGGAGTCTCTGAAAGGGTTCAATTTGGTACTTTAAAGGAATGGTATGCTCATGACACTCATTTTTAAATAATTATCATCCGATAAAACAGACCAGTCTCTGCCAGTCTTTTTTTTATTTTTTTAATCCGATGACATTATCAGTGATTTTAAACTGATTAATTACCGAAATAACATCAACACTGTGGGCGGCGCCATTTTACCGGACGGGACGTAAACCATGCGTTTGGTTTCGAGGACACGTTGATGTTCATGTTATTTACTGTAGTTACTCTCTTCAAATATGCCTCATTGTATCGCGAAACATCGCCACAATTCTGATAGGAACAATCCACGGAATGCTCGGTTCCATCTGTTGCCAAAAGGTAAGCGTAGGAAGTACGTTCGGAGGCAGTGGCTAGCAAAATGTGGCCGGCCCGAACCGAAAGATCCACAGGCGCATGTATGCAGCGAACATTTCAAGTTTCCGGACGACTACTCTGAGAGTATGATAAAACATAACATGGGATTTATTGAACAACCATTACTTAATGGAGATGCAGTACCATCGGTCTTTCTGGTGTCATCACCGACCAGAGAAATCGCCCTCTGCAAGTGTGAAGCGACGGAGGACCAGAAGTAGTGCTCGGAGTAAGAATAAGGTATGTTATGGCGCATTCCCATTGCAGCGGGTAGCCCCGTTTAAACGTCCTTTATCGTCCAGGCCAGGCCCGTTTTTGGTGGCCTTTCCATATAGCGTAGTACCGGCTAGTGGGTATTTTCCCCCAGTTTTACCGGCCCCATAAAAGCGTGGTTCTAGGGCCAGGGACAACGAGGCTGAGTATGCTAAACTAGAGAGGGAATCGCTAGCAAGGGTGGTACTACATGCATACATATCTAGTAATCAAAATCATTGTATCTATTAAGTAGTACTAAGTAGGCTCGAACCTCTATGGCTGAATTCCCCCTTCCAATCTCTTCATATTGCTCAAAACTTCGCCATGTTTTCCTGTGTTTACAAAGTGAACGCATGGATGACCATCACGTGACTACTGAAAATGGGCAAAATGGCAGCGGCCTGACGGAATATACAGGTTTTGATAAAAAAAGAGCTATAAAATCATTATTTACCGGGGAATATCGCTGATTTCTTCAGGGTATGGTTTAAACATAATGTTTAACTAAATACTGAAGTTTTGATTAATTATCTCATGAGTGGAGCATTCCTTTAATTAAGTAGCGTGGTAATGTATGAAGGTAGATATGGTGCAAAATGCGAGAGCATGTAAAACCTGATGTGAGCACTTGCAGGAAAAAAATCTGAGCTTGTGCGCATACATTTACACTTGTATAACATATCCACGTAACTGTGAACCAAATGTACACTTGTATAAAATATCCACGTAACTGTGAACGAAATTTGAAGTCACAGAAGAAAAAAAAAAGTTTTCTAGCTTGTAGAAAAAAAATGAACTTAGTGATGAAATGTTCACTTGCAGAAAAATACATATTTTTTAAATATATTTTCCATTACAACTGCAACTTGGTTATTACAACCTCTCAAATCAGTCATTACAACTTGACGAATCTGCTCTGTGGCAGTATTCGACGAATCTGCGGTCTTGACTTTTGCTACACTTCTTGCGATACATGTGTCGCAAAAGTAATTTTCACCTGTAGATGTCATGGATGTATAATAAGAACTGGATACAGCGTGGGAGGCAGGGCCTCATTCATTCCTATGAGAGTTGCTCATTAGCGGATGATGATAAAATGGCCCAACTTTTGAAAGAGTGAAACGTCACAGATTACCCGGCATGCCTGAGAAGTACCCGTATGTGCGCTCATAGCGCATGCGCAACTTTAACCAAAATGCTCGTTCACATCAAGCACGTCAATTTGCGTACACGTAACAGCACCGCAGGTTCATGACAGCATGGTAATGATTTGTTATTATGATGGATTTGATATTAACGAGGCGGCAGTTAAAAGCTAGCGGCTAGCTAGTCATTATGCTAATGTACACATCAATCGTTATGTACTTATATTACGCTGTAAACAGGATCTAGTGATATCCAAGCAACATAGCTTCATTTAGCATGAAAGAATGATTGCACTGTATATATATATATATATATATATATATATATATATACACTTATAATAATAAGTAATATTAACTTTATTTAATACAACATTTACGGTACAAGATTTAATCATACAGCCCATGTAGTATGATAATGAATTATAGCAAACATGTGCAATATATCCATTATTGCAGCTCCGTGGGGTGGCAGTAAGACGATATGGGTCCGTTCTTATTGTGCATCCATGGGTAAAGATAAATGCAACTCACATTGGTTTTTCAAACAGCATCTCTGTAAACTACGTGTATTGTATTCACTGAATTTCACTCTCTGCCTTTAACGGCTCGTTGTAGCTCCAATAGCTCCAGCCCCCACCCTTCCTGTGAGCACAGTGTGCTCTGATTGGTCGGGACACGTAACATGAACGTGCCGGGTGGCGCGGTCCCGTGGGTTATATGCGCGTTCATAATGCAGAGGGAAATAACTCTCAGAATAACGTTATTAGCACATTATTACAACTTGAGGAACGAATGTTTTTAATAAGGGCTATACAAGTGTTCATACTAGGTAGTTTATTTAGTTTAAAAAAAATTATTCAACGATTTACAGACCACTCTTTCCCCATGTAAGTCAATGGGAAAAAGTGTTTCCGGGCCTGGCAACCAAACGGAGGTGTAGTACCGCCGTTTGGCCAGCACGAATATTTTCATCTGAGTCCGGCGCACTTCCTGGGGGCTAGGTAGATGTGGGGGGAGGGAGGGGGGTTGGAGAGAAGGTCGGAGCTATCAGAACGACGAGGCTCGGGTCAGTCACAGTCACAGCCATAGTCACGTCGAACCGGATGACTGCGGGGCTAACGGTTCGTGTCGCTACCAGTCCGCTGACATGGCGCGTCAATCAACGGTAAGTTTTGCCCATTACTTGCCCAGTATTACTTTGAATATTAATATTGTGATTGAGGATTAAATCCGCTTTGAAGACCACCGTTTTATATCGTGCAGTTTAGCGGCAAAATAACGTCAGTTAGCCAGCTAACGCTAGCTTTGTTGAGTGTATGCTAGCTAAACAAGTAGTGGTTGTAGTCTACAGCAGTAATTAATATATTATAGCCTACTGCTTTGGCACTAACGGTTGATAACCGTTTATGAAAATAAAACCAATTGAACTGTGCTGAAATAATGACAAGTTTTATAATTGTCTTGGGCTCCTGCTGTGTTTTTAAAGCCTTTGTAAATTATCCATGCCATTTTCTATTTAGCTAACGTCGAAGTAGTGTATGTGAAATCAACCTCACAATAAGATGTGTGTATATTACAATTATTAATGTCATATTTCAAGATGATTACTTAGATATTACAATATGGTTGGTTAAGCTGGAGTTCATTATCGAGCTTACACGTTAACGTCACAGTCATCTGAAGAACGAACCAAAACCTTGTTGTTTTTATTAATTGCATTACCAAATTGATATCAAATAAACAGTAAGCGGTAACACAACTTCCAAAGTTACAGTAAAATAAAAAGGACCCTGACTCGGACAATACACAATCCAACATGTTCAACAGAAGATAATCAGTTATATTGTTTGTACACATGGTACTTTACATATCTGTTTGTTTAAAGTGTCCAGGTGATGCAGACAGGCTAGACCAGAGAGTGAGAGACAGAACTGGACTCCTCACAGCAGTGAACTTCAGCACAGGTACAAATACTCTTTTCTTCATACTGTACAAAGAATCAAGAAAGATATTGGTTTAAATAAATGAAGTATTGACTTGAATACACTGATATACATTCCATTAAACAATACTAAATACTAGATCACCTACACATCAGTGAAGTTGAGGTTTTTTTCCATGCAAAAAGTTACATTTAGATGTTAACAAGCAATATGACTTTGTCAGCTTTCTAATT